GGTACAAAACATTCGCAGCAATTCACATAGAATTGCGGCTATCATCGGTAATCACGCGGTGTAAGTGAACAACGGTTTAAACGGAACAACTAGACCGGTGGAAGTCGAACGCGAAAATTGCCTCTGCTGCTTCGTTTACCTCTTTTCCTCTTTTTTTTACCCGGGTTCGTGGGAACATTCGATATACACTTATACTAGACAGAAGCATTTTTAGGAAAAGGGGACGCTTCTCATTCTTTATTCTTTGAAAAAGAAAGAAAGCTTAACATTTTATATGTATATATATACATATATATTGTACTTTAATTTACACTTCACGTTTCTTTTTTATTTTTATTTTCGAGCTGCATCGCGAAGATTCTCGTATCTCCCTGCGGAGAATAAAATCAGAATGAGCCGGAATAAATTCGACGATTCAAACGAGCGTAAGTAAGACGTCGACGCTGACAGAATTTTTTTGAGGCAGCGCCGACTGTTTGTGTATTTTTCTTTTTTTTTTTTTTTTACCTCGCTGTGAAAGCGCTCGTAATATCGGTACTTGCGTTGACGCACTTGTAAAAGCGCCCACCGACTCCTGAAGATAAAGGAGTGGTCTGTAATATTCAGCTTGCTACTTCCGAGCTTTCTCCGAGTGAAGTACAAATCGTCTTGTCTCTTCGCGACTTATGCGTTTTCTTATGTCTCGAGTCTGAAAGCGGTGACAACTTCGGTGGTTACGAGGTTTTCTCGACGCTACTTACCGTTCGGTTTATGATGACGTAAAAGCCAACCGAAAACGTATTTGGCGACTCTGAGTTATTTATATGGAAGAGAGCAGGGAAGGGATTGCATTAGAGAGAAACGTGGTAGCGCATATTTGAGGGATTTAAATATTATGTACTCTCCTGTAATAAAAAACTTTCAATGTTTTTTTATACGATATTCTGCAGTTATACCTATATAAAAAAATTTTTATTTTATATGCGTTCGCTATTTTAATCACTTTGAAACAGGTTCAATGCAAACGTATAAGTGTAATTATTATTCGTAATATTATATTGGAAATTACATGATATAAATGAAATATGATAGAAAATATAAAGTCTATATTGTGTGCACATACGCACGATTTTTTCTTTTAAAAGAGATAAACGATTATTTTCTTTGCGATAAATACGAAAAACTGTGAATTCGGGTATTAAAAAAACGAGTCTGCACAAGTGCATAAATATTTTTATTCGTCGAATATATATATATTCGACACTTCGTTCCATAAAGCTGGCTTAGCAGGATAACATTGCAAATCACGAATCGACACTTTTCCGCGGGTATCGCCCATGCTCTCTCGACAGATTAACTCGGAGTCGGTATGTATTTCCGCCAGCGGTCGAGATTGCAAGTGTCACGCTAGCGTGCGTGCATGCGTGCTTTGCGCGTGCCTCGTTCATGTCTCGATTCGAAAATAAAGTATATAGTGGGCGCGACATGTGTATGCAATATGCACTGCAGTTTGTCATTGTATCGAAGTCTGCATTTGAGGCGCACTTTTAAAAAAAATGGTTATACATATTGCAACAGACATTCTCATTTCAATAAATTCCGAGATATTTTTCAATTATATAATTATTATGCAATTAGGAAATTCGGAGTAAGAGTTTACTGAAAAATTTTATATACATATATGGATATAATAAATTGTATATATATATATATATATATATATAATTATATTTATAAAGAAGACTTACAATTATAAAAATAACTTTCAGCTTTTAAAAAGATTACATTTTATTTTATTTTTTTAATAGTTTGACATTATTGAGATAATAAATCTTGTTTAATAACAATGGGTTACAGATTTCTATAAGTAGTATTTTGTTGCTCGTTAAAGTACGTCGAGTTTCACTGTGCTTGAGAGTACAAAGAAATAAAATGTATGTACGAATTACATATTCTTTTATCCTTTTGCGTTGCCAATATAATCGGGCTTACTACATTCCGGAGCTAAAAGGCTCTATTCCATCGCGTCGAAGCAAAACGCGATTTTCAGTGGCCAGCTAGCTCGGACCAGACCGTAATTCGTGCTTAACGACCTTTTAACGATTTTTCCGCGTGTCCGCAAACGAGCAGCCACTGCCGGCATGAACGATAAAAAGCAACGTTATTACTTTGAGCGCGATAAGTTTGCTCAGAAAATTACGGAATCCATTGTCATTTCGTAAACTCATCGCACATATAGATGCCGATATGATTTGTTGCATTCAATAATTACAGAAAAATTAGAATATATTGTTATACGACAGTCGAAAACATTTTACAGATTTCAATGAAAATTACTTTAATATATATATGAAATGTTCGTGTCATCAGATTTATCTTGCGAGACTTGGATAAGCATTTTTAATATCTGATACGGAGCACAATGATTCAAGCTGTAATAATAACGGTAAATGATAAAGCATTAGACAACTGGCTGACGTGTCTTCGACGAAAAGTAATAAAAGCGTTGTCATGTGCGTGTTGTAGTCGACCACATTGTATAACAAATTACCGTCGTCGCTAATGACAGCTCATATGGAAAATCTCGTTATTAGGTGGCATAATGATTTGCGTTTTCTTTTACTAGTGAATTGTCTAGAATTCACACATCTCGTTTATCTTCATAACACATTTAAAAAAAGAAATATCTACGGAAATATCGTAATAAAAAATAGATTTTAAAAAATGCGCGAAGCGATATCACAATTTTAAAAATAAATTGTTATTCTCTTGTATAAGAGTCTCTCTCGATAAAAATATTGATTCGCAAGATATTTCAATAACATATCGATACTTTTGAAATATCATGATGTTGGAAATCTGTAGCAACGGACACGCGCGTGTCACGGTTGGTTTATCACGTTACACACTTTTATGAGCCTATTTCCGGTGACGGGATTGCCAAATCGTATCGGGATCACAGCTTACAGGACCTCGTGCGAAATATCGACCGGATTAAACAAATCGATCGAGCGTGCATTAACGCTCGGTTTTACTGCGTTGGATATTTATTGCGTCGCTGTCGGTTTCCTAGGAAAAGCGTTCGCAGTTGTATGACGTTGCATTGATTTTCGACGTTTATTTTTCCGTCTCGCCCTGTATCGAGTGAGAAAACATTCGACCGGAAAACTTTGCGTTGTCATCACAAACGCAATGAAATATATGGATACAGATGCAGCTGTTTGTGTAATAAAACTTGCGAGCTTCTCAAATTTCTATTTTAAAAAATCGTGCTTTCAAGCATCATTTAAGTACATATAGTTATTATTTATAGTTAAATTTATAATTCTATTATTTTTTGTAAACTCAATATATATATTTTTGCACAGAAGGGGGAGGCATTTGTTTCTATTTTATATCTGAAAACTGAAATTTCAGTCTGCGAAAAATGAATACATCTTTTAAGAAATTATAGTTTAAATGGAGAATATACATATTAAATATTGAATATATATTTGATGTTCTATTTTAGTTATCACTGCTGATTCCATTGCAAAAATTTGCAGTTACGACATAAAAACTTATAGTACTATAATCTTGTGTTAATATACATATATTTACATATGTATTTATGTATAATAAAATACACATCGATCTATATCCACTTTAAGTCACAAAAAGGCTACTTTTTCATTCTCTTGTCATTTAAAATATCTAAATAGATATTTGAATTACAATTTTATATATATAGCTGCGCTACCGCAATCTTCTCTAAAGCAATATTTACATATATATCTATATATAACAAAGTATGCATCGATCTATTCACTTTAAGTCACAAAAAGGTTATTTTTTCATTCTATCGTCATTTAAAATATCTAAATAGATATTTGAATTACAATTTTATCTATAGCTGTGCTATCGCAATCTTCTCGAAAGCAATATATAATGCACTCATTTAATATCCTTTCGGAGAAAATACTCGAGCGCGAAGAAGAGAAATTAAGATGTTAACATTTGCGTGAATGTTTCTTTTTACTGTTTGTTGGAAAAGTCGGCATATATAACTTACTTGTTTCATATCTTCACGCGCCCTTGAGTTAAAAGCTCATAAAGATAAGCATAAAACGCGCTCGTAATACTAAGAACATCGTAACAAAATGTCGAACAGAATATAGAGAAACGATAATCGATGTATCGCCCGTGATCTCACGTCAACGTCATACGTCGACAGAATAATGTCTTTCTAATGAAACATAGATCCCAGACTTGTACATGGATAGAAAAGAAAGTTTCTTGGCCCATTGTACCGAATATACCATTTTCTTACGTTCACCGTAATAGATATTGTTACGTTGCACGTTATTATCTATAGACGTTTAATACAGCTATTTACGTCAACTCCTGAGCTCTGATAGTCGATTATACGCCCATTATGTTCCATAGAGCAGGAAGTGAAAAAATAACTAAAGCAGATATTATAAGCTCTTTCCTTATGATTGCATTTAATTCTTTAAATACTACAGTTGTTGCACATTTTTTGCAATATACATTTTATTACTAACTAATCAATCATAAAAAGTTTAGAAAAATAGTTAATTAAAGTTAATTGTAATTTTTATAAAAATTTATCTTTCATATAAATTATAAACCTCGATATTAATTTTCTATATATAGAATATTAACCAGCCATTTTCTACATTAATTGTATAAAATTTATACACGATAAATTTTATTATTTATGAGATGATACGAAGAATTGAGGCTTGTGCAATTCGCAGAAATTTAATTATTCAAATTTTTAGAAAATTTTATTAAAAACATTATAGTAATTTATTATATTCTATATTGTTTATATATACATACACATATATAATTTATATGGAACATAATTTTTTTCTTATTTTAGTGTTAATAAGTATATTAAGGAATATCGCATAAATATATTATCCTGTAATGAAGTGATTTACATATACCTAGTAAACTATCATGTAGGAATATCAGTTTATTTATGATACTTTATTGATTTTGTATTTTTATAGGTTGGTGCAAGCGATTCCGTGGAAATTATCTTGATAGCCGCAATTGCAGACTGAAAATGCAGAACTGGTGAGTGCAAAAGTGATAATTTGCAATAAATTAAACAAATTCACGTTTAAAATAAAAATTGAAATAAATATTATATATATATATAATAACTAGTAGATACAAGCTGCAAGAAACATGCAGAACGACGAAAGTGTGAAAGATGTTTTTGTCGCTCATATCGTCTCGTATTTCCGATTTGCATTCGAAATATCTCTAGAATATCTCTGAAACATGTCTGATAGATCGCCGGAAATCATAAGTCATCGCTCGAGCAAATTGAATCGCGCAAATAAGGATAAATGCAGGAAACGAGTCTCCATAAAGGGGTCATTTTTCTTTCCGGACGAAATACGAGTGAATATACGGATTTTATACTTTCACAAATGTTACATCGTACGGTACGCGCGTGACTAGAAGAAACGGATTATTCTCGTTTGCGCGATTAGATGATTATAACATCTTTCTAAGCTTCACATGCTCGTTCATCTATCGAAATAGTCATTCCGTTCCAGTTACTCTCTTATATTAGATATTAGTAGATAATTGACATTGAACATGCATTTTGCATGTAAATTGTTTTTTTTTACGTGTAATCTGTATAATTCGCAGACTGTGTTTTACTGCGTCTGTTTCTGAATTTTTTACATCAGGTTCTTTACTCAAAGAAATTATTTTTAACTTTATTCTGTGATTTTCTGCTCTTAATTACGCTTATAAAGATAAATCAAAGCGACTATAAGAGCGGTATAATTTCTGCAAGTGCTTTTACAAGAGATAAAGCTCTGTTTGAGTTTACGTTAGACAATACGAGATTACATTCGCAAACTCAATTTGGGAAATTTACATATAGCCTGCCGCTTATACAAGCTCTTTAGGCTAATGTTGAAGTAAACATTCACATTCAGGAAACTTTGATTCCTTACTGCTTATCGAAAATTCTCACATATAGCGATGCACATATGTCTTCCATGCACGAGGTCACGAAGAAAGTTCATTTTCAAATAATTCATGACACATACACGAGACTTAATATATGCGGCTCCGATCGGGAAATAGGTTTAGTCGCAGGGAAGAAGTTGGGGAACCAAGTTCGGTTACAGTTTCTCGCCGGGCGGACTGCGAAATTTCGGAGGCAATTTCAGGGAGAATCGAACGAGAGCGACGATAGAACAGGAAGGGGAAAGAAGAAGGGGAGGCGGGATTTTCCCCACGAGTAAAGGAGATAATAGGGGACACTGGCCTCGACCCTCAACTTCACCGCCCTTACGAAATAGCTATTCTGTCGAATCCTCCGCGCGTATTACCAGCTAACGGCAAATGTCCACATATATCTATGCCCACCGTAATGGATATAGTCGAACGATGGTAGGTCGTACCTGCGCCCCAATTAGTGTCAAACTACCGGAATTGGGATTGAACGAGGATGAGCGGGAGTAGAGAGAGAGAGAGAAAGACTTGTCGGGGTTGTACCACGGGTCGTTTCGGCGGCGATAAATTTTTCGTTGAATCGATTTAATCCGCGCAAATGGAGAGAGGGCGAACTGTCTGATTAAATTATCCGAAGCGGCACGATCGCGTAATCTCGTCGCATCAATCTTTGTTATTGTATTATCGCGGTTTAAGCGGCTCTTAGGAAAGCGAGCTTGTAGGGGAAATCGATGATCGATGCTTGTTCTCGAGAATTTCGTAACAGGAGAACGATCAGCGCGCGAATAACATCCCGGGCATTAATAATTGCTCCATCAGATCGTAATCTCGTAAATGTTTTTGCTTAAATTTGAAAAATCGATTTATCGGAGAAAATTACGTTAGACGATATTTCTTTCTTTCTTTTTTTTTTTTTTCTTCTTTCGCAATTTGATTCAATTTCGGTAACGCGATGAAGACGGATCAGGGCTCGCTTTATTGTTAGCGCGATACGCGTCGCGCGTGGCTGTATCACAATAAATCTATTAAAGACGAGATATGCGCATAATTTATTTCCCGGCGCGCATATTACACGCGTAATTGTGGTGCAGTGAATGTACAGTGCAGTCGCGATCGCTGCTGTCAATCACGGCGAGGCGCGCAAAAACCTGGCGCTGCAGCCTCGCTGAAATGAAAACGCGACATGTTTGGTTGCGAGCCGCGCGCATATATGCAATGTATATGCATCGGTGTCGGTTATTCACGTGCAACAGCTTTTACATCCACGGATGAACTATGTAAACTATCTTTTTGCACGTGCACTCTCTGCGCCGCGCGAACATAATTCAGATAACGCTTGTGCAACATCTATCACTTTCCCGATTCCCGGTCTTATATATTTTCAACTTGCACATATATCCGGAGAAATAAACATTCAGTTTACACATTCGTTTTTTTTTCGCGATTCTTGGTAATTTATTTCACCAATTTACTTGATCGAATTTATGGAAATTAATGCGGATTTGAATGTCGACGTCGTGTTTAGAGAAACTTTTTTTAATAAGTAGTATATTAATAATATCTTTCCCCACTTGCCTACTTAAAACCGGTTTTACCGGCTCTCGTCATTCCGTATGGAAGAGCCGCGCTGTAAATGTAACTTAACAGCGTATCGGCCTAATCGGAGAGATAACGCCGGTCATTAATTCATCACGCTCTCCTACAATCTAACACGATCCATTTTGATTCGCCATATTTGGGCCGACGTTTCGCGCCGGTTGTTGTACGTACATGTAGTTATGAATGATAACGCGTAACCGCGTGCGATAATGCACGTTTCGCACGCGGCGATCTATCAGCTGGACTTAACACTCGATGATCGATCATACTTTGAAAATGCGTCGAAAATGCGAGATCGTATCACGTTCTCAGCTCTTATCTCTCTCTTTATCTCTTGACATGGACATGTTTCGTGTCGTGTAATCGAGCATCGTGAAAGAGACTCGAGTGCATCGAGAGAGTCGAGCGATAATGTTTTAACTCGAGTTGATATTTGAACTTAGTTCGTGATATATCAATCGTCTTAATTATGACTACACTCTTTTCGCGTTCTTTTATCGTCCGTAACTTAACATTGTATTTAATAATTAATTAAGCCATTAAATTGACATACCCACCATATTAGTCAGCACGTTATAGTCAGCTATTAATTATAACATGAATGCGTGAAAGGAACATTTATTTTTGACAAATAAATATAATTATACTATTATTTATATTTTTTTTCGTTTGAATATTTTTAGTTTTTATTCATGCGAGTAATAATAAATTAAAATATGATTTTTTTTTTGTAAGTTCTGCAATTTATTTATTAAAAGGAGATTTATGGTTCTCTGGTAATATACTCTTTTTGTGAAAATTTAATGAAGACAGCGACAAGCACGCTTTGAGTTACGTAATGAAGACTAATATTTACATATAGTATTTTATTATTAATTAAATTTTTAATGTAAATGTCAAAGAAAAAGAGAGGAGGAAAGAGTGAAATTTAATAGCAAAATTATGACTATCTATAATTAGTGGAAAATCTGAATGATTGATACCTCATAAAATTGTACAATTTCTGCACAACGTTTTATGAGCAAATTAAAATATCTTGCTCTCCTTTCCTTAAAATCAATTATGACTCGCTCGAGTTTATTTCTTATTAATTATTTGACATATTACAACGTTGTTCTATTAAACATCCGAAACACTCTAATATTAAAACTGATCACACTATGTTAGAGTAAATATTTATGTACTATTAGCTTGTATCAACGGATATAATATCCCACCTCATGCACGCTCATGCTCGATTAAACACGTTATATTCAAATTACACGAGACTTGTTTACGTCAATCGAGCGCGGATGGAGGCTAATATAATAACCGGAGAAAAATGCGAATCAGTTTTATGGCGGCGAATGCGAATGAGACTAAGGGGGAAGCTTTATCGGATTTCTCGGCCGTCGTATAAAGTGTTTCGAGAAATCGATCATGCTCGGTTATCAGCTTTAGCTTCTCTCCGACGAAGCCCGCAACCGGGTCCGTTCAACGAATCGTGTGTGACGTCGCTGACGCGTTTATACATCATGCAAGTTTATCGCGTCGCTCGCGCGATATCGGTGTCGATAGCATCGCGGTGCGGCGTGAAAAGTTCCTTGTGTGCTACCGTTTCGCTCGTCGCGTTTATATATACTCGAGAAACTCGCGTGGAACAACATCGATACGATCGCGGAATCTCACATCCGTAAAGGAAAGGGGGAGGTCTTGGGAATAATTCAAGCAAAATCATTTTATGTATCGGTCGAAATTTACCATCTAGGTATCTATAATTTAGATATAATGCAAAATTTTTTAAAAATAAAACATAGATACATACAAATTAAAAAAAAAAATACTAATTGATACTAATAGGAAAAGGGGAGGTTTTGTCTATCTATAATTTATAATGCAAAATTTATAAAAAATGAAACAAAGGTACAAGATTTAAAAAAAATACTGATTTCTATTTATTTTAGATAATTTATTTCATACTTTATAGATAATTTCCTTAGATATATTTCAGGTTGTTTTTTGTTTGTCTGGGAGTCGGATATCTTTTAGACTCACAATCAGACTGGTTGTATTTACACACAGATAGGTTGTATTTACACATTCATGTTTATTTAGACATTACGTTGAAATTATAGTCTTGAAGTTTACTTCACGGAAATCAATTATTTCATCGCGTTTCGTGCACATCCTTCGTGTGGTAGTTGCAGACAATTAGGCTACAATAAGCTCTCCGCTCTATCTTTTAACGATCGAGGTTTCTCACTCTCTTTCTCTTTCTCTCTGTCCTATTCTAAACTCGTAATAAAGAAGAACTGCTTCCACGAGAACATTTAAATTCCTCGTTAATATCTCTACCACGTAGTATATACGCGGCTTATCCATTATGGTACTCGTATCGAACGATTATAGTAGTTCGATCAGGTCGTTCCATCAATCACTTTTCAATCTCCTTTCATATATCTGCCTCTACCAGTCGGTTGGCAGCCGGTAGCCGGTTATGTCCCAAGTGGAATTAC